CCGTCTCCACCACAGACAACTACAGACAATAACGCCGCTATGCAGACAGCAGCAGCGCAGACAGAGACGCCACAAACAGTAGCAGAGCTTCAGCAGAAGGTGCGCTATCTCCAAGAGCGGCTACGCCGGAGATCAGAGAGCCCAACAAGCGTTATGATACGCCAGCTTGCTAAAAGCGCTTAGCTTGCAATGCAAATAGTAATAATACTTACAGAGGAAATTAAGAAGCTACGTAAAGAAAACCAGCGCCAACGACAAAAGCAAGAGCGGCAGCGTCAATATATCGCTTCTAGTGGGGTGCTCCAGGTCCAACAGGCTCAGCAGATCATTGCAGAGGCAGAAAGGGTAGTAATGGGGGGTGACCAGAACCAGACTGGCGAGCGACGTCAGCGCGCGCCGCTAACGTGCACGAAGTGCCACGTTCAAGGACATACTTAGACTTCATGTAAAGCTAGATAAAGAATAATATCTTTTAATTTAATCTAATTCTATTAAGTTGCTGTAGAGCAATTGAGTAAAGCGTCGCGTCAGGTTTGGTGGGGTGGGCCACTTACTGATGTGGGCCGCTTACTGATAAAACACGTTAGCTCCTTATCAAATACAACCTCTTGTATACCTCGCGATTGCTCCCTAGAGCGCAGCCTCTTACATTTTATATTCGATCCCAATTAGACATAAGCCTTAGGTAGACTGTCTTCTAACTAAGTTTTAGAGCGTGTTATTAGTGCAAGCTAGTAATATAGAGTTAGTGCTGCAATAGGTACGAAAGGCCTTTAGTGCAGCGAGAAGGTAGACCGTCGTAAGACAGTACACCTAGGGCAGAGTTTCGCAGGAAGTTCAGCCGTGAGAGACAGTAGGCGATTTAGTCGCCCAGGACCTGTCTAGGAAGTCCTACTGTGTCTTGGAAAGCCGAGCCGTAGGCGCAACGTCGCGTGATAAACTACCTAAAGGCCACTCGGGCCTAGCGTACAGTTAGCTAGAAGCGGACGTTGTAGTGAGAAGTCCTGTCGATCCTCTATCGGACGGGGTGCAGGCTGTGCGATTACTCTCAATCAGAGACGAGATCCCACGAGCGAGACGGCAAGACGCGAGTCTTCCTAGGGACGCGACACGACAGCAGCCAAACGCTGTTTAGAACTAGCTAGAAGAGAAGTACGGCCGAAGGTAAGCCCTACTAGTCCTCACTGACGAGGAGTAGGCCGCAGTTAAGGACTGCGCGAGCGGATCGAAGAGCGACCAGAAGCCCTGCATATTAGCAGGCAAAGAACGAGACGTCCAAAACGAATTAGGCAATGGAGATTAACGTTCCAAACTTGAATGTGGAAGAGCTGGCGGCGTACGCTGCTGCCAAGAACCAGGCAGGAGTATCAGATGAAGAGATCCTGCGCGAAATTACACAAATGCTTAGAGAGGACGGATGGAAGGAGGCAGCAATTAGGCCAAGATTGAAGCGGTCGCCAAACGATCGGCCGTCGTGGGAGAAAGGGCTCACCAAGGCAAGGAGGCT